TCATTGTACAATGTGAGTTTTAAACCTTTTTTCTCTAATGGTGCAGCGCCCTCTAGTGATTGGACACAGAATGTCCGTGTAATTGTCTATTGCAGCAACTTCTGTTGGTGAGAGAGACAAGCTTTGGAGCTACATAGGGCTCTTCTTCAGGTGTGGGAGTGTCACAGCTAATAGATTGTTTAGCATAAGTAGTTAGCACCTATTCTAAGTCTAAGGGACCATTCAAGGTGCAGTAACCCTGTAGTCATAGTGGCTTACAGATTGTTATATTAATTAAGTCCATACTTAAGTGACAGGATGCTTGTCAAATAATTGCAACTGAGTTTCAGACAAGACATGGAAAATCATGGAAAAGTATTACTGGACCCATATTATTTACAATAATTTGGAAAAGCTAACAGCTGGAGCCGCGCTGTGCCCGGAGCGGACAGCAGGGGCTCCTGCTGTCAAAATTATGGTGGAAGCCTAATGCGGGTTCTGCAATTTCCACAATATCAGCAATTAAGTAGGGCCTTAGAAATAAGCCATCAATGCTTTATTAAGACCACGGTTTTCAGTATCTAGCAAAATTATGCTAAACTATCTGTTGAACTTTGTTGTCATGGGTTCCCCGGGGTGCAGCCTTGGACTGTGAAACCGCTGTACTCCCTTAACTCTCTCCAGCCTCGGCCGTCTCTCACAATGCCTTGGTAGTGACAAGCAGCAAGTCCCTCCAGGCACTGTTATCACTCAGCCCAATCACATTAGGAGCCCCAAAGCCAGCTAGATTTATATTGGTAACTAATGAATCACACAGAGAAAAGCACCAGCCAAATCCCCCCAGCTCCCAGCATTGTACCTCAGGAATATACCATCTTGTACTGCTCATGATGGGCAGTGCAAATGTATTAATTGGTTCAACACTTCATCAATAGAAAATGGATATACACCAGCCTTGCAAACCTGAGCAGATTACCAAACAGTTTATACAAACTCACTGGTAAAGATAAACAGTAAAACAAATTTATTGACAACAAAAGATAGATTTTAAGTGATTATAAATGACAGGCAAAAAGTCAGAATTAGTTACCAATATAAATTAAAATATTAGCATACAGTCTAAACTCTCAACTGTGATCCGCGAGCTCCATTCAAGTGGTCCACGGATAGTTCCATCTAAGGTGTTCACCTGGTCGGCCGCACATGAAAAAATGAAGGGCCACCCACCTAATTAGTGGAGACGCGCAGGTAGGGGAGAGAGGGAGACACCCCCACCCCCCATTCCAGCTCTGGGGCTGCCGTAGTA